GGTTCAGATGGAAAATCTTCTTTAAAAGGTGTTTAATAATATGCATAGGCTTAAAAAAATGAGAAAGGGTATAGACAGTTAGAAAACATTGTTTAAAAGATGGCTCAGAGGTTAAGAGCACTGGCTGCTTTCAGAGGTCTGGAGTTCAATTCCCAGCAACCACATAGAGGCTCACAACCATCTGTAATGAGATCTGGTGCCCTCTTCTGGGGTGTGGGAATACATGTAGGCAGAACACTGTATGCATAATAAATAAATAAATAAATAAAATCTTAAAATGTAAAACAATTGTTTAAAATAATAAAGTCTTTAAAGAGAATAAAAGCAATATAAAAAAAGCCACTTGAGATGGGAAATACACAGGGAATCGGTTTTAACTTTTCTGGTTGCTGATAAGCAAGACAGCTGCTAAGAGACATGGGATTGAAAGAGGGACTGATGAAATAAATCAGCCTAGATATTTTTTTTTTGTGGTTTTTCGAGACAGGGTTTCTCTGTGGTTTTGGAGCCTGTCCTGGAACTAGCTCTTGTAGACCAGGCTGGTCTCGAACTCACAGAGATCCGCCTGGCTCTGCCTCCCGAGTGCTGGGATTTAAGGCGTGCGCCACCACCGCCCAGCCAGCCTAGATATTTTAAGAATGCTTTATCTTGGGGTTGGAGAGATGGCTCAGAGGTTAAGAGCATTGCCTGCTATTCCAAAAGTTCTGAGTTCAATTCCCAGCAACCACATGGTGGCTCACAACCATCTGTAATGGGGTCTGGTGCCCTCTTCTGGCCATCAGGCACACACACAGACAGAATATTGTATACATAATAGATAAATATTAAAAAAAAGAATGCTTTATCTTTAAAATGGAACTCTTCTACATGACTCCTGAGTATTTGTAGAGAAAAATGCTTTTTTATCTTTTTACATCTATTACTTCAACCGTTTTCTTTTATTCTAATTTACCTTGATAAATATACACAAATTTACTACTTTACTACTGTAAATATACAATGAATATTACATGTATCTACAATGTTGTACAACCATTAGTACTATCTAAATCCACAACTTTTCTTTCATTCCATACTGAAATTCTGGGGCAATGAAACAGTAACTTCCCATTCCCTTTTTAACGACCACCTGGTTACTTCTATTTCTGAATTTCATGTAAGTGGATTCATACAGTATTTGTCCTTGTGCCTGGCTTAATGTAATTCACCTGGCAGTATGTGTCAGAATTTCATTCATTTTAAAGAATAAATCACACACACACTACACATACACACGCATACACAGTGTGTTTCATACTTCATTCATCTAATGATAAAGATTCATTTTTACCTTTAGACTGTTTGGAATACTGATATCCTAAGCATCGGATGCTGCTTTTTAAAAATTTTGCGATTTGATATATAACATAGTAACTGTTTTACACAGTAACTCTATTTTAAATTTCACTAGCATACAAGGGTTCTAATGTCTCCAAATCCTCACTTTACCTTTTTATTTAAAAACAATATTAATACCAACTATTAAATATCTAAGCAGAAATTAATATAAGCACACTCATACAATTCTAGCACCACAGAGGTTGAAGCATTGTGAGTTCAAGGTCAGTTTAAGTTATATAGGTGAGACTGAAAACACTAAATGACTGGAGATATGGCTTAGTGATAGATCACTTTGGGTTTGATTCTTAGCACTCTCGAGAAAGATATCTTAAATATTTACTGTTCATGTGAAATTCTAAAATACAAAGGAAGTAGAGGAAAGAAAGACTATCTGATGGTGTATTCTGATGGCGAGCATTTGTGTATGTATATATTCTATCCCAACATAGTTTCACATTGGGCCAGTTTCAGGGAACTTCATAAGATGTGACAGCTTCAGCCTTTAGAATGAGCCCCAGAGATTTCAAGCTACTTCACTTACACAGAAAACTGCAAGTAGCATCTTTCCTGAGGTATGGAAAACCAGGGTTTACTGTTAAGTACAGAACTAAGTAGTTTCAAAGTCCTGTTTTACAAGACCAACAAGCCCACATATTAATACACTGTGGAGAAGGTAAGTAAAAGAAAATCTCAGACTCAGGTATTAATTGCTGTGTTTATTTAAATTTATTATATTCTCCAAATTTGAAGATAACAAAACATAGTATTATAAACACCTGAGGACCACTCAACTGGACATAGCATCTTCATACAAACAATTTGCAAGAAGATCAATTTTAAGAATCTAGTTTTTCCAGAAATGACATAGGTGAAGTAATCTTTTATACATTTCTGCTGTTATATAAAACACATTTGGTATTCTTAAAGAGAAAATGGACATTCTTTTCCTGGTGAACATTTTGTTGACATTTAGAACAAATGGCTAATACATGTATAACTGATTCTGACAGCTTATATGTATTACACCACTATATAAAGTAATGGCACGCAGTATCATTTTCCTTTGAAAGCTCTCATTTATAAAAATAGAGCCCCAGTGTAAGAATTAATGTATTTTTTAAAATGTAGTAGAATTGATGGCTCAATAAGTAAATTAATTAGAAATATTGCATAGAATAAAGAGCTTCCCTATGTGGGAGCCAATCTAAGTAGAGTTTAACACCTGAATAATAAGCTGAGAGCTACTGGGATTAGTAAAATGATGTACATATTTTTGATGGAATAAACATCTATATATAGTTCTTTATTACCTTTGTGGCAGTGTAAAGTGCCATAATAAATCAAAAAATCACTTGTGTATTCTCACAAATATAGAATAGTATATAAATATGCTAAAGTATCCATATGAAAAATAAACACAAAATAAAATAATTTTTTAAAAATTGGACACAAATATCTTGGAAATAGACATGTCAGGATTGAATGTCTAATGTTTGAGCTTAGCAAAAATTCAGAAAATTATTAAATAGGTATAAAGTTTATCCAATTCCATCCAATCCACTCTTGTAGAATAAACATCTCCTCCACAAAAATTATTCACTTTAATCTATCCTAAAAATATCAAAGACTAGTAAGAACACTTTATGCAAGCTTATAAACTTGCTTTTTTCCCCTTTGTATGAACAAATACACCACCAGGGCATGAAAAGAAAGGAAAATAATTTATATGGCTCTTTCCTTTCTAGTAGTAGTGTACCATGAACAGAAGAATGGGGAAGGAGATGAGAACTTAAGTGCACCATTAAACTCTTTTGAGAGAAAATTGCCATGGTTTTGTAATAGAGATTACGTTGCTGGTATTTTCCCCTTTGAGGTTTAGCTATTTGGTTCTAGATATAAAAATTAATCCTAATAAATGGTTTTCCTCTGTTTGCTACATGAAGTATACTTGTAAACACAATAAAAATAATTAAAGACATAAATAATAAATTTTCAGTTATAAGTATGCTAATAAAACATATTCAATGTTGTTTAAAGAGTAAGAACATACTATCAATGTAATTGTACTACAATTTTGATAAAATATTTTTATAAAAACCTTTTATAAAATACAAACTGATGAGAAGGAAATTACTTTTAAAGTAAAACATTTTAAGTATACCTGAGAATTGTCTCTAATCTAAATTTGCATATTTTCAATTATATTTTATTTCTTTAAGTTTTTCAATGTAGTAACATAGTTTTAATGCTGGTCCTAGTTTCAGCCCCATATACTTCATCATCAGTTCACTCTTCAGTAGTAGTAGAGCTTTTCCATCAATTTCCTATAGAGAGAAGAAAATTATAGTTAGTTTATACAGTATTGTACTATATATACATACATATAAATACACATATATATGTATATATATTCATTCTCTGGATATATGTCTATGAAAACTAATAAAATTTGATTTGTACAATGGAACATCATTTGACAATTTACAAATTTAATCTAATTTTTAAGAAAAAGGTTTAACCCTGTACTTTCAATATATGTTCTAAGTACCAAAGTATCTGACTTTACTGTGTACTGAACAAAATACTAGCACATATTTATGACAAATAGTTAAAGACTAAGAATAGTAGAAATGAATTTCATGTTATTAACTTTCTGAGAAGGGAAAGAGTATGCCATTACCAATGAAAACTGTAAACATGCTTTACAGTTTCATCTTCATGTTGGAAGGTAATCAGCTGTCTGAAGCTAGTTAGGTGTTGAAACAGATACTGATTTACTTAAAATATTGAAGAGGGGCTCAGAAGGATTGCTCAGTCAGTAAAGCACTTGTGTTGAAAACATGAAGACTGGAGTTGGATGCCCAGAATCCATGTAAAAATGCCAGACATGGTGGCATGTACTTAAATTCCAGCAATGAAGAGGTAAAGACATAATAATCCCTGGGGGACACTGGCCCCCAGATGGCAATGAGAGACCTGTGTCAATGGAAGCTCGACAGCCTTCCTGAAGATGATACCTGAGATTGTCCTCTGGCTCCCATAAGACATAGACACATGTGCATTTGCACCTGCACACATGTGTACACACACACACACGCATAAAATAGTGTACACCAGACATTAAACCAATGATTTTATATTAGAAAATGTTGTGAACACATTGCTTAACATCACAAGGAATCCTTTTAAAACTTTATTATTGTAAGTATACAATTTATGTCATAAAAGCCTATTATTTATTATTCAAATTATAATGAAGTTGCTGTTTTCACAGGGTATCACAAGAAGGCCACCCTGGTATATGCTGTGAGTCAACCCCTCCTACTCATGGTCCTAGAATAGAACAGGGAGCAGGTTGGGGGGAGGGTTCTTGTATTTGTCATTACAAGAAGGGGTAGTCTACACGAGAGTGGCAATCCTATAATACCACCTCTTGAAAACCTGAGGTTGTTTAGTGTACGAGATTCTTAGATACCCATTTAAAGAACAGTCAGTTAACCTACCATTTAAGGCCTGAATGTTGGGCAAAGCAATCCTTCTCACAAATGAAAAAGATCAGTTGATATGGTTCCCCCACCATCCATACAACTCAGTAGCAAACTGAAAGGCCTGCACAGAGGTCATTCAAAGGCATAAGGGCAGCAGGAAAACCGGATCAAAAGATACGTTACATGTTGCCTGAAGAGCTCGGCGAGGGAGCCTGCTATGTGAGGATCTGTATGTTTCATAAACTGTATCACTTCATCCACAGACCAGGTTGAAGGGTCCTTACAGAAGCCTTGTTTCAGGACACTGGGGTCACGTACAGCTATATAACTTGAAGCTTCAATGGGAGGGGAAAAAAAACAAATCATACTTGACCTGATCATAATCCTGAAAGAAGAGACGTTAGGTTGAAAGTAATAGTCTCACTCCTGGAACCTTCTCTTCAGTACCTAAAGTAAGGACTTAAGATTCCAACTGTAAAATCTGAGAGCCTTAACGAAGATGATCTGCGGAGTGCTGCACAGAGTATGTCACTGGACCTCCCCAAAGAGCAGAACAGCTTTACACTAGAAAGTACAAAGCTTCCATGGTCATGAAACACGTGTAGCAATCCAAGGCCTCTTAGGTCACAAGCAAGTACAGGAAAAGGTGTTACTCGAATTGGGATAAACTGAGCTAACTCAGTACTGTCTTCTTTGAACAGATCCAACAAACTTCGCACAAGCTGCTCTTTTAATGTCTTTTTCTTCTAAATTGACTTTATTTTGTTAAATATGATAGGGCCTTTCAAGTTTACAGGTTTATAATCCCTTATATATTTTTCAATTTTAATTAATATATTTCAGCAATGTTTGAGAAAGAGATTAGTTATTGGAACCATTCTCCTCAATTCAGTATGGTCATTTTTAGCATCACTTTTACACTTTATAGATTCTCATCTCTGGCTTAAATGTTAATCTCAATTTTAAAGAACACAAAATTATTTCCTGCTCAGCTCTGTCACAAAGTAGCTTTAGTAGTATTTTTATTTGATCCCTCTTTCATGATTCACTGTCTAGCAATAGATATTTTGATTAGACATTTACTAAAAAGGCAACAAGACAAAACACAAGTAAGGTATTCATCTTATGAGGTTCAGGTTTTAGAGGTGTTGTTCACTAAGTTGTGTAGAAATTTGTGTTCCAATACTCATTAACTTTAGGAGAATGCTCAACTTCCTACTGAGTGTGTGATGATAAAGAAGGTTTTGAACTTTTCTAGGAAAAATCTGTTTATATTTCTAGGTATGAATTAGTCAAATGTATATAATTTGTTTCCTATCATCCAGGTCATGGCAAATATATGGATGCTTTGAGTATTTACCCCAAGAAGTATAAACAATAAAGAAAATGTGTTCAAAATTATAATGATTTTCTGTGAGTAGTTCTACTTTTTCTTTTCTTTACAAAACCACAACTGTAAAGTAAAATAAATATCTACTAAAATATATCCTAGCCTTAAAATTTCAGAAAACATAAATAAAAATTTGCTGGACTTCATTAATCCAGGTAAAACTGGTGATAATGTAGCTGGGAGTTTCCAACATTTGATACTGCAAGATGATGTCGTCTACAAATCTGTTGGGCTATATTCTCAACTATCCTGGCACGCTTGTGACCCATGAGCCCCAGGCTCGACAAGTCTACAGACAATGCTGTACCATTTGGGAATCCGGGCAATTAGAAGTTATCTTTTACTCAACAATGCCATAAATATTAAAAATATTTACAAGGTTAATTATATTTCTAAATCTAGGTTTTAAAAAGGTTTCTGTCATCAGAATCTGGAATAGTTATGCCTTGCATAACATGTAACTATTTTACAGCTAGACTGTATGAAAAGGTATGATTTCCGGCATAAAATTAATTTCAAATTAAGAGAAGACTATAAGATCTTCTGTTTTCACTCTATTACTGAAACAAAATTGAGGATGCATCTTAAAATGATCAGAGGTGGTTCGAACCTCTGATCATTACATGACTACTACTCAAATATGAAACAAACTAATAATGAGAAAACAAAGTTCAGGTATATTTTTTCCTGCCTTTATTAATTGGGATATCAATAAATATACCTGAAATAAAGTGATTTAATTTCTCTTGGTTATCATGGAATTTCTTCATAATGTAAAGGTGAACAATTTTCTTTTATTCAAATAATGAGAGAGTAATACAATAAGAGTTATGTCAGCAACAGTGATAAATGAAGCTTAAACTAATAGACCTGAAAGAAAATATTGACACATCTAGATAGCTTTGAAATGAAATGGTTATCTTTTCTCTAGAGGTGCAGGCAATCAGTGTCTGGATTCAAGAATTGGCCTAGCCACGTTTTTGCCAAGTGACTTCTGAGATTGTTTTTCACTGAAAGTGTTTACTAGTAGCTATTCTTCAAGGAATTTTAAAAATTAAAAATCATGTCTATGAAGCCATATAAAATACATGCCTGGCACATAATGTCACATGATGATGATGACTTATTTCTAGCATCACAAAGTATTAATAACCAATATCATTACTATTTATCTCTCCATTCCTAGGATTGTCAGTAGCATTACTCAAACATCTGGAAGTCAGATAACTAGCATTAGAAATTTTAAAATCAGAACATTTTACAACCTTTTACTAAGAAAGCCTTTTTCACAAGTTGATATTTAGTGAACTTAGGATTAACATTTCATATAAGTTCTTATGGACTAAATATCCATTTTTAGACCTTTGGAAAACAATATCACTTTAAAAACAAACAATCACTACAGGAGGTGGGGTAGGATAGAAGGGACAACATTAAATGTGTCATAGATGTGTATAGTGAGGTTGCTCATATATAACATCCTTGTCAAAAAAAAACAAAACAATGAGGTCACTTGCTTTCTATGTTCTTTACTCTTCAACACAGCCTAAAGAAAATGGACAGAACACTTATTATCTCCTTCACTCTTAACCCTTAAAAGGTTAAGTAGTAGCAGCAGGAAATGCTGTGTGATATTTTTCTTTTTAAAGAAGATGCCAGCTTTTCTTGGCAGATCTAAGAGAATGACAGCGGATTTGGTGATTAGGGAAATGATGTAGTTACAGAAACAGGATGCCAGAGACCTGATCCAAGAGCCACACACAGGCTGGTACCAGGGAAAGGTCTCAACAGATATGACATCACATCAGAAACAAGGAGAAGGAATGTGTCCTTCTTGGCTGAAAGAGCCATGAGAGGTTTAAGAGTTCTCATAGCACTTCAGGAATTGTTTACACCTGCTTGAGAACTACTAATCAGAAGTCTCTATCTAATAGGGCTGGTGATCCAAAGTCCCAGAGACAGTTCTGTGATGCTATGAGGACAGGAATAGCCATAACAGCATTGCCCCTGGCAATGTGGAAGAGAGAACATGACCTCTCTAATTTTGGCATTTCAAGAGGTGATCAGGTGGTATGGTCAGGTACGGAATCCTCAACGAAAAAGATAAACACACTGACTGGCAAACATTATTCTTGAATATACCTTCATTTTTCTTTTTCCATTAGTATTTAATGTGCTTATAAGGTAGATGACTTTTTCATAACTATAGATGTACTTGATGTATTTGACACAATCTCAGAAACTCTCTTGGAGACTGAAGTATATGCAGGATGCAAGGAATCACCTATTGATGAATTCTCAAAAGTTTCAAGAAAACTTTTCATTTTAGACATGTCATGTCCCTCAGAAGATATTACTATAGGGGGAAAAGAGATTATCTTCAACAGCTCAAATTCTATTAGAAGGATGTCTTACTTTTCCATTGCCATGACAAGACACCATGACAAAGGCAAAAAAAAAAAAAACATTTAATCTGGGAGCTCATGGTTCAAGAGAGAGTTGGTGACCATCAAGGTGGGGGACATGGGAATATGCAGGCAGGCATGGTGCTGTAGCAGTATTTAGGGCTGAGAGCTTACATCTGATATGTTAGCGAGAGGCAGAGAGAGAGAGAGGGAGAGAGATAGAGATAGATAGATAGATAGATAGATAGATAGATAGATAGATAGAGAATGCCAACCAACTGGGACTGGTGTAGGCTTTTATAACCTCAACTCCCTCCTTCAGCAACCTATCTTCTCTAAAAAGGTCACACCTCCTAATCTTTCTCAAAGAGCTCCAGCAACTGGGGACAAAATATTCAACTCTATGAGCCTTTGGGTTCCATTCTCATTCTGCCACATTCCATTCCATGGTCCCCATAGGCTTGCAGCAATATCATAAGGCAGAATATTTTTGATTCAACTTCAAAAGTCTCAACAGTCTTTCAACAATGAACCAATGTAAAAGTCCAAAGTCTCTTTTGAGGTTTGAGGCAGTTTCTTAACTGTAAGCCCCTGTAAAAATAAAAGTAAATTACATATACCTAACATGCAATGGCACAGAATACACATTACAATTCCAAAAGGGAGGAATAGGGGCATAGTGATGAAATACTAGACCAAAGCAAGACCTAGCAGGGCATCCTCCAAATCCTGTAGATCTATGTCGGATTGTCAAAAGGCTTAGATGGCTCTGCCCTTCCAGCTTTGCTGACTGCAACACATTTCTGTCTCTTGAACGGGTTCCACTCACTGTATGCAGCTTTCCTTGGCAGGTATCCTACAGCTCTGTCATCTCCAACATCCTGGGGTCTCCAAAACAAATCCAGCCTTCACTTTCACAGCTTCATGCAATGGCCTCTCTGGGCCTGCATGCAGAGACTTCCCTGCAACACTCCTTTCTTTAATTGTGTAGGAAGACTCCACAACCCCTTTATTTTTGTATCCTTCTTGATTCTAAAGCCAGATCATGGCTGCCAAGTTCTGTTGCAGGATCAGGATGAAACCTAGCCCCTTCCTTGAAATATTTACATAAGCTTTGATGTGTTGTTGCTCTTTAGGAACAGATAATACCTTAGGCCTTTTCACAAGTTATAGAATTAGTTGGGTGGGAGGTCACCATTCCATTTATTCCATTTCTCCTTATCTCTTTCAGCACAAACGAAGGCTCTAACATAAAATTTCCTGTTGGTCTTTTTCTCCTCAAACTGTGTATTTTGTATTTCTTGTAGCCCTGCTTGTTCTTTGTTATTGCAGATCAGCATAAGAGTGATCACTAGTAACCACATGACAGAGTCAATACTTGGCAGTCTTGAAATCTCTTCCGCAAATGAAACTAATCCAAAACTCTTCAATCATGAAGACATGACAAGGACAAAAGGCAGCCACATTCTTATCCAAAATATCACCAAACAGCTAGCCAAGTTGCTAATATTGTTCTCATCTGAAATCTCTTAAGCTTATCCAAAATATCACCAGAACAGCCTCTAGCCAAGTTGCTAATATTGTTCCCATCTGAAATCTCTTGGGCTGGTTCACATAACTCTCAGCATTAATATCTTCTAAGCTCCTACTATGATGGCCCATTAAATTCCACTTATAGCATTCAAGCATGCTCTTAGTTCAAAATCCCAAAGTCTTTTGCATCCCTCTGAAAAACGGCATGACCAGGCCTGTTACAGCATTAGCCCACTCTGTGGCACCACATTCTATCTTAGTTAGTTTTCTATTGCCCTGAAAAAACACCATGACCAAAGACACTTACAAAAGAGAGGATTTAATTTGGGGGATCACAGTTATAGAGTTAAGAGTTCATAATCATTACGATGGGGAGCATGGCAACAAGCAAGCAGGCATGGAACTTGAGCAATAGATGAGAGCATACATATTGAAACACAACAAGGCAGAGACAGTCACACTGTATGAATCTCTCTTTTGAAATCTTAAAGCCTACCCTGGTAACAGATCTCTTTCAACAATGCTGTAACTCCTAATCCCCCCCCCTCCCAAATTGTTCCACCAACTGGTGATGAAACATCCAAATATCTGAGCCTATGGAGGTCATTCTCATTCAAATGACCACAAAGATAAAAAAGTATCTTATTTTCCTACTGTGCCTTTTATCCTACCACTGAAGAGACAGGGAAGGGGATAGCTTTCTGAGTTTGAGACCAGAATGGTTTATATAGTGAGTTCCAAGCCAGCCAGAGTTAAACAATAAGACTTTATCTTAAAAAAATTAAAGTATCTGCCAATAAATCTATCAAAGGAAGTGAAAGATTTGTCTAATGAAAACTATAAGACACTGAAGAAAGAAATCAAAGAAGATAATAGAAGATGGAAAACCATTCTACAGATTCAATGCAATCGGCAATCCTCATCAAAATACCAATGCAATTTCTTCACAGAAACTGAATAAAGATCTTAAAGTTTACAAGGAAACACAGAAGGACCCAGGATATTCAAAAAATCCTGAATAATAAACAGACTTGCTGGAGGTACCAGCATTCCTGATTTCAAGAAACATTATAGAAGTATAGCAATAAAAACAACATGGTACTGTCATCAAAACACATCAATTAGTAATATAGAACTGAGGACCCAGATACAATTTGACCCTCTTACAGCCACCTGGCTATTAACAAAGAGGCCAAAAATATATATTGGAGAAAAGACATCTTCAATTTATAGTGTATGTTGAGCTGAATAGATATATGTAGAAAAAAAACCCAAAACTCTATTCTAAATGAATAAAAGATCTCAACTTAAGACCTAATACACTAAATCTGTTAGAGGGAATAGTAGGGATATGTAGGAGGAGGGCCTGCTTGTTTGTCCCAGCTGTCTGGCTAGCTTAGCCCCAAAGTAACCACACAGAAACTGTATTCATTAAATCACTGCTTGGCCCATTAGCTCTAGCTTCTTATTGGCTAACTCTTATATTAATTTAACCTGTTACTATTAAGCTGTGTATTGCCATGTGGCAGTGGCTTACTGGGTAAAATTCCCAGCATCTCTTTCTGGCGGATCCATGGCATCTCTCAGACTCTGCCTCCTTTCTTCCAGCATGCCATTTAGTTTTCCCTGCCTACCTAAGTTCTGTCCTATCAACAGGCCAAGGCAGTTTCTTTATTAATTAACCAATGAAAGCAACACACAGACAGAAGGACCTCCCACGTCAGGGATAAACTTCAACTTTTAGGTACAGGCAAGGACTTTCTTAACAGAATGCCAGTAGTGCAGGCATTAAGATCTGTGATTGACAAATGGGATCTGCTTAAATTAAAAGCTTCTGTACAGCAAAGGATACTATCATTAGAGTGAAGAGCCAGTCTATAGAATGAGAAGAAAATTCTTTACAAGCTCTACATCTCATAGAGGGCTAGTGTCTAGACTATAAAAAGAACTAAAAAAAAACACTAAGCACCAACAAAACAAACTCAATTTAAAATTTTGGCATGTAACCAAGTAAAGATCTCAAGTGACAAAATACAAATGGATTGGAAACATTCAAAAATTGTTCCATATCTTTAGTAATAGGGAAATGCAAACTAATACATTACTTTAAGGTTTTATTGTACCCCAGTTTGAATGACTAAGAGTTAAAAATAAGTTGGACAAAAAATTCTGGTGTGGATGTGGGGAAAGGAGAATAATTATACACTATTGATGGGAGTTTAAACTGGTACAACCAGTACGGAAATCAGTGTGGAGGTTCCTTAAAAATAAATTTATCATATAATCCAGCTATAAATCTCCTGAGCATATACTCAAAGGACTCTATATCCTATTACAGAGATACTAGTTCATCCATGTTCATTGCTGCTGTATTCACAAGAGTAAGGAAATGGAAATGGCCTAGGTGCATATCAACTGATGAATGGCTAATGATAATGTGATACACTTACATAATGGAATATTATTAAGATGCTATGAAAAACGAACAAGAAATTCACAAGTAAAGGATGGAACTAGAAATAACCATTAGTGAGGTAACCTAGACTTGGAGAGACAAATATTTCACATTTTTGCTTGTACGTGAACTCTAGCTTTGAATCTCCAGATATGTGTATTTAACTTGGAGTACACATAGAAGTCAGGAAAACAGTAAGAGAACAGGGGATAATGGAGCAAGAAGGGTTAAGTGGGTTACAGGTTAGAGGGCAGAGTAGAGGAGGGAGTTTTCAGAGAGATAACTAACACAAAACACTTTTGAAAAAGCCAAATGAAAACCTACTTGTACAAGCTTCCTAACACACACACACACACACACACACACACACACACACACACAAAACGTGTTATATATATATATGTATATATATATGCACACACACACACATATATATTTTTATATATATATGCAAAAAATTCAAATGGGGCCTCTCACAGACATGATAATCTATTAAAAACTCAGTGCCAGGAACATGTTACTTCTTTTGAAATTGATGGTCAGTGGGGCTTCATAGACCAGTAAATATAAACAGGGTTATTACCATTGTTCTTGGTTACCCGCTCAGAACCTAAGGTCAGGTTATGAGGTCACATAAGACCCTATTTGCTAAAGATACCACATAGAACATAGAGAAATCAAGCTGTTCTGAGCTGTAAGCTACTGGCTAGCTTTCATTGTGCTGGGTGGTGCTGGACACTCTATTAAGGGAGAAAAGTAATCAACAGTCCTACCAAGGTATGAACCCTACAAACTATTATAATTATGGTCTGTCAAGACATATTTACTGTTACTATAGTGGTATGAATGCTATGGAAGTAACCAATCACTTAATGATCGTATTGTATTATTGTATTTAAGGCCTTCTTCAGAAGATTGAACTCATGCTTGGCATGTTAATGAGGCCAAGGACCTGAGTATAGGTTACAAGTTCTAGAGAACTTTTTCTGCTAAAAGTACACAGTACTAAACTAACTCCTAGAGATTTATACACAAATAAGTGTATCTCTCAACTCTCCTCAGAGAAGATCCTTTTTGCAGTAGATGGAGATTAGCAGAGAGCTATATCATACTGTGACTGCAAGGCTAGTAATCATCTCAGAAGAGGGGGCAGAAAGATTATGAGAGCCAGAGGCAGTGAATAACTACAACAAAAGTATTTTCTAGATACAATTTGGCAACTGCATATATAAACTAACATCTGTGACTTCATGCACGAGATCAAATCAGACAAAAATTTCAGCATGGATATGAAAGGGGCTTAGGACATCTCACCCCTAGCCAAGGAACTACTAACAACTGATTGCTACCAAAAGAGGGAGAGTCAGTTTTCTTCAGGGATGCAGCCCCTGAGAATCTCTGCTCCAGTAGATAGTCCTGTATGTATGCACATAATAGCAGAACTATGTGGACTCTGTGGGTTGAAATAACAACAACAGCAGAGGGAGTGAATCCATGAAATTGGGAGGAAATTGTGGTGTAGGTGTAGAGGAGTAGTTGGAGGGGAGAGAATGAGGTGCGGCTTGATTAAAATACATTCCATACATGTATGTAATTCTTAATCAAGAAAAATAGCTTATTTCCAATAATAGATCACTTAGTGTTCTATTGAATGGCAAGCTTCTAACACAAAATACATGGACTACTCTTTTTCATCATACAAATTAATGGACACTCCTAAAATCCACATTGATTCTAGGCCATCATCTATGTTTTATATGATAATTTAGTAGATCTTTCCATTCTTGCAACCAAAGCTGTACACTTCTAAAAAACATTTATTCTTAGGAGCACAATTCTTCAGAAATATTCCTTATGACCATACTGTTATTTTCTCATATTTGCTTTCACTGGAGAAAGCATATTAGCTTTTCTCTCACTGATTTTCCTGGTTATAAGGAATGCAACGCAGAATGGATAGTGCTATTCTAAGTCTTTTTTTTTTTCTAATTTATTATTTTTTTTTTATTTTTAAATATTTTTTTTTATTAAGAAAAGAAGAAAAAAAAACATAAACAAAAAACAAGTTTCCACCTCCTCCCAGCCTCCCATTTCCCTCCCCCTCCTCCCACCCTTCTCCCCCTCCTCCCACCCTTCTACCCCTCCCCCCACTCCTCTCCCCCTCCCTCTCGTCTAAGTCTTTTTTAACCCAGGGAAAAATGACAGAAGTATTATTTCTGAAAGGAATACAGTGCTCAGTGACCAAAGTAATAATGTAATTGTCAAGCATGGGTGAATTTAACTTCCTACCCTCAAAACCATCACACCAAGAGCATACATAGGTGGTGACTGAGGGACTGACTTTCTCAATTCTGGTGTGTGTGTGAATGCCATTTACCTTTAGAGGCTCGCCCACTCTTTCTGGGAACCTTTGATGAGACTGGAGCAAAAGTTAGAGGTCGCTGAGAACATCGTTTGAGTCTTCTACTTTCCTTTAGTTCCTCATTTAATGCTTTAAAAAAAGGTACATGTTATAATTACTATAGTCAGGTATTTTTGTATTATCTGTATGAAGTACTTCTGCATCAAAGTAATTTGCAGACTATGACTTCAACAACAGTGTCAATTATTTGACTATAATAACAGGTTCACTGTATCCTATATGTATTTCTACTGAAATAATATATTAAAGAGTTGGATTGGGGAGATGGCTCAGAAGTTAAGAGCCTATCAAAGCACTGGAGACCAGATCCCAGCACCCACATCAGGCAGCTTATAAAGCCTGTAAACTCCGAGAGATCTGATTCACCCTTCTGCATTTTGTGAGCACTTTAATGCACACACATACATAAATAAATTCTTGTGTTCAGCAGGACGGTGGGGGGTGCATGCTTTAAATTCCAGAACTCGGGAGGCAGAGGCAGGTGAATCTCTGTGTGTATTTTGAACAATTCAGAAGCATTTAGAGAAAGATATGTCTAAATTTTATTTATACTGTGGTCACATACCAGGCAAACACTCTACCACTGAGCTATGTCCCCTACTTACTTTCTATTGTGATACAGGGTCTTACTAAACTGTCTAAGATAGGCTTGAAATTTATCTCACATAGGCCTTACACTGCTTCAAAATCTCCAGTAGTTGAGATTACAGGTCTATGTCAACAGACATGGCTGTACATATTTCCTCATAATTCAGAAAGTAACCACTTTGTAGAAAGGCAAACTGAGAATCAGGGAGGTTCAGTACTTTGTCCATAAAGTGTAAATCTAATTAACAGCAAACCTTGGATTAAAATTTAGATCTGCCAAACTTCATGTCCTTATAGTGTACAGGTTACACAGTCAGCACTGGAACCCAGATTTGATAAATTCCAACACCTTATGACAATGACTATTGTACTTTCATGTAAGGACTTTCTGTATCCTAACTTTTTTCAAGGGATTCACTAGGCAGTTATACCAGCATGGAGAAACCATAAAGGGGACTCCAATTAGGAGATCACTTTACTAAGCCAGAAAAGGGGTGGGGCAATAGGGTTCTAAATGGGATGAGGGTTGTGGCAAGAAAATGGGAGAGAAAGGAATAGAGAGGAGACACTTCACTGAAACAGAGGCAATAAAGTTTATGAGGAAAAATTGAGAATAATCAGAAAGAACTGAAAATGAGTAACTGGAGATGATACCCCGGTTTTCTACCTGATTGGAATACACCAGACTTAAACACATTAAGACTATCATGGTATTCTAGTTCCAGAATTGACAGCATTTGACAAGAAGACAATGCAGCTTTAATACTGGGACTTACAGCTACTCCTGTGACATACATAAACTTCTACTATAACCAGAATATGGTTACTTGTCAATAGTTATATGAAAGAGCAACAAACATCCAAAAAATGGAAAGCTCAAACAATCTTTTCACTGTAGAGATTAGAAACAAGAATATCACCTGTGGTTCTATAGAACAACACTGCACTCATCTTTTTATTCAGTCATCAGTTTGGAAGACAGGTAACTGTAGCTAATTTTGAGAAAATCATTCTTTATTATCTATGGACTCAATAGTCTTTGCTACTTTCTTTAGATTAAGGTCAACAATGTTAAAGCCATACCTCAACCTAAAAGGATATGTCAAATATCAACTATTCATAAAAAAGCAAAAAATAGCACACTGGCTTTGATTCTCAAGTTTACTAGGAATTTAGTGCTGAGCACTAAATTCAAGGCCTTGTGCCTGGAAGGCAAGCATACTATCCCTGAGCTATAATCCTTAGTTAAGAAATGAGTTTCTCACTTTAAGTGAAGAAAGTATAATTATATACTACACATTTTTCATTAGTTCAATGTGGCAAAATGTTTGATGATGACAGAAAGGAAACTCTGAAATACTCAGATTCTCAAGTATAAAATGCAAAATAAGAGCATAGTAGGGGTCAGCAGATAAAGACACTTTCTACGCAATCCTGGTGATCTGAGTTCAATTCCTGGAATCCATGCAAAGATGGAAGGAGAGAACTGACTCTAAAAACTTATTCTCAGGCCTCCATATGTGCACTGCTCCCAACATCCCCTCCCCACTTTCTTAGATATATAGTATACAAAACTTTTATTTTTCTTACCTGGTTTGTTTTGATCAAGGTCTGTAGTAGAGGTAGGAATATGAGCCTTAGGTTTCAAAGGCTGGCTACTCAAAAACTTATCGCACTGCATGCTGCGGCAGAAATTTTCAAGAAAGCGAAGCGCAAATGATGCACTATTCACTGGAGGGAGCTGAACACTATGAACTTTCTCATCAAAGAAGGCTATGGGGCGGGGAGGTAAGGTCAGTCATCAGTCATCTCATAGCAGATGAGAAATAAAATAACAAAAGAAATCAATTCAGGAAATGTACTTTAAAGCTGACTTTCTGGGTTTTAAAATTTAAAAAGGAATTGATAAAAATCCTATTAAGTATATATAAATAGTGCAACTGAATTGGCTTGGTTTATAGTAACCCTTCTACATCCTATGAGTACAAATGTTATAATATCTGTTTATAGAATCATGATAGACAATAACTACAAATTACTTCTCTCCTATTTTTTCTTTAAATTTTTTTTTTATGGTGCTGAGCACTAAATTCAAGGCCTTGTGCCTGGAAGGCAAGCATACTATCCCTGAGCTATAATCCTTAGCCTTTTCATTTTATCTTAAGAAGATTTTCTTTTGAGTCACATTATTCTTTAAAGTTTATTAGAAATTTTTCAAAACATAAAACATTTTAATAGCCAAAGTACTATGCTTAAACATTTAGCTTAGCAAAGCATGTACAAGAAAAAAAAATCAGTATCTTTTACTTAAACTTATAGTACTACGCTGACTACTACCTATTTTGTTTTCTGTTTGTTTGTGTGAAACAGGGTATCAATATATAGCATTGGCTGACCTGGTACTTCACTTATAGCCCAGAGTGCCCTTGAAGTCACAGTAGTCCTCTGTTTCAGACTTCTGAGTACAAGGAGAATAAGTATGTGCCACAATACCTGGCGCTTACATGTCTGCTTTGATAAAAGTAAACTTTCCAAATGAGATTTAAAATTTTATAAGTATATAACCACCATACTTATTCTATTACATCAGTATAATAAAGTGCTATAGTAGAATATAAATATTATAAATAATCGCTATGCAATTATAGTCTGCTTCTCTAAACCTCAAATCAAATTTAGAACACATATAAAGAATTAGATTAATATACCAGTTATTACTTCTCCTCGATTATCTGGCTTAATAAATAAAAACACAGTCTTGGAATCAATGGCACAATCCACACAGGCCTGCACAATCCGCCGGAGAATCACATTCACAGGACCTGGACCAAAATGGTCAGGCAGCTGCTGAACTTTCTGTGGATTCAGGTAGGGGCCACAATCTCCATGTTTATTTATATAGACACAGACTTGAGGAGAAAAAATGTATATAAAAATGAGATGAATTAAAACAAATTTTCTGAAAATATTACATAATTGTCATATCCTACTAGTGATTTCACTTAATGGAAACATAATAGCTCATATCATTGGCCATTTCTGAAAACATGCAGGTAGATATATTTTCATAATTACATAAAGATATTGAACATGCAAATAGTCCAAAAATAGCTTATATAGCATTTATGACTTTACTCAAAACTGATTATATAAAATATATGTTTGAGAAGACTTAAGGGCACCATATAATCATTCTTAATTTAGCATTGCAAGAAATGATACAAAATTAAAGAGTAGTTTCATGTTATTAAATTTTGATCTTTCCCCCTCCAACTCCTCCTAGAGCTTTCCCGCTTCTCTACCTACCCAAATTCATTATACATACAATATATAAATTTCCTTTGAAAATTGCTCATCCTTACTCATTGTAAATCACTGATAGTGTACTTCAACTGCATTTTCTAAAGCAATAAAATGACTTCATAGTATATATAATAGTAAGTTGTAATGACAAAGTTTGAATATGAAAATAAAAATTTCCTTCTATATATGACTAGGCTCACTGAGGGAAATTTTTTTTTGAATTTTTGAGACAGGGTTTCTCCGTAGCTTTTGGTTCCTGTCCTGGAACTAGCTCTTGTAGACCAGGTTGGCCTCGAACTCACAGAGATCCGCCTGCCTCTGCTTCCCGAGTGCTGGGATTACAGGCGTGCGCCACTACCGCCTGGCTACTGAGGGAAATTTTAAACCATTTTCTTTGTACTATAAAATCATATAGTGCAGAAGTTTCTCATCTATAATCATGGTGTCAAGTGTAGATAATTTAAATTGACAAATGCAAATCAATGTATACTAGAAAATCATACAGGTTTATCAGTACTCAAACCATTTAAAACTTATTTTGTACTAAAAAATTACATACACACTTATTTAGTATACTAAAAACCATACATGTCAATTTTACTGGGTTGAAATATGATAATTTGACTTGTCCCAACTGTTAGAGGAAGGATAGCCTCTCTCACAAAAATGAAACAGTGATTCAAACCTAACCCAAGGTGATAATAGCACAGATACATTCATAAAGTAAAGCAAAAGAAGGATTTCAATGTTTTATCATATTTCTGCTATACATGTTGAGATCCCTTATAAGAAATCATTGGTACCAGAATATTTCAAACATAATGAGATAACTTGGGGGATGGAACATATGTCTGAGCATAAACTTCACGTATACTTCATAAAAACTTCATACACAAAGCCTGAGGTAGTTTGATATCATACTTTTGTGGCACTTGTGTTTTGATTGCAATGTATCATATGAAATCAGGTGATTTTTACTTGTGGTGTCATGTCAGTACTCAATAGGTTCATTCTTGGATTAGATATTATCAACTTGTATTCATTTAGCTAGTGTATTAAATGTAATACACTATTTCTTATAAGAAATAAGAAATTAAGTGTGTTAAATGAACCTTTAAAAAACAAGTGGTATTTAAAAAATAATTCCCTTTAAGTGAGAAAAATGATAAGGAAGAGTTCAAGGAAAATAAGAGCATAAAGGTGGTAATTCAGGATATAAAAGAATAGGACATACTTTTAAAACACTAAAGGGATGCCAGAGAGATAGCTCAAGAGCACTGGCTGTTGTTTCCAGAGGGCCTGGGTTTGCTTGCCAGCACACACATGACAGTTACAAAATATTGCCACAACAGACAGTTGTAACTGGCAAGCCACTAGTTAGCCATAGAGGCAGGGTGGTGGCACACACCTTTAATTCCAGCAGTTGGGATACAGAGGCAGATGGATCTCTGTGAGTTCAAGACTATCCTCGGTTACACAAGATTGAATCAGTCTAAAAGAAAAATAGAGCAATCAGGGAGGGGGAGGGAAATGGGAGGCGGTAGCGGGGAGGCAAAAATCCTTAATAATTAAATAAATTTAAAAAAAAAGGAACATCAAACATCAAAAAAAAATAATAAAAAAATAAAAAATAAAAATAAAAAAATAAAAAAAAAAGAAAAATAGAGCCAAGCAGTGGTGTCTCACTCTGACTCTGGGTTTATATTATTAAGACCAACTAGAAATGATATTACATCCTGTATCTCTCTAGTCCCAGTGGATCTGACATTCTCTTCTGGGCGAGAGGCAGATACATGGTTGCACAAATACAAATGTAGGCAAGACACTCATACATACAAAATAAAATGAAAGGAAAATTAAAATACAAAAAGATTAAGAAAATGTATATGGGATGATAAAAAAGGATTTGCTTTGTTTTGTGCTCTTTTCAACATACCAGAGAAGAATTTAATATCACCATGTCCTTTGACAGAAAAATTATTTTCAAAAGGTATGAGTTATTTTGGAAAACACATATAATATGAAATGACAAATACTTTGAAATAATAAGGATTTGCTAATGACACAAATTCAAAAGGTTGGATATTTACTTTCAGGTGACAGATTTACACAGGCTGTTTTTGCTTAACATCAAGCTGAACTATTAGTTTAACAAAATACATTAATATCTTACTCATTTCTAGTACTTTAACAACAGTCAAATCAATGCTGAATAAAATATGTAATGTTTATTACTGTTTTGAAAATACTAACTTACCTGTAGACATCACTATTTTAAATGGCCCCACAGGAGACTTATTAGATGAAGATCTTCTTATTAGTGAACTGAGAGATGCTGTAGATGTAGAAGAAATAACTGGAATACATTTTTCCTGTTTAAAAAAAAAGAAACAAAGTATGCAGGTAATGTTCTCTTTTAAAAGCTTCCAGATTAGAAAACAAAAATGGGAGACATCACTGGATCACAAAAGCATCAGTTAAAAAAATGGTTGAAAACTTTCTGGGTACTAAGAACTGCAGTGATTTGCAAACTTAACTCAGGCCCACAAGCTATTCAGGTGCCAGAGAAAGAGACCAAATTCTAGGTAGGATTCTGTATCCTATCTTCTGATGATACCTTAGTCAAATTAGTTGTGCAAAACCTGTTAACCTCAAAAAATTTCTGAGGTTCCTTGCAAGACATGATTTTTTTGGTTTTTCTGTTTTTCAAGAAAGGGTTCTCTGTAGCTTTGGAGCCTGTCCTGGAACTAGCTCTTGTAGCCCAGGCTGGCCTCAAACTCACAGAGATCTGCCTGCCTCTGTCTTCTGAGGGCTGGGATTAAAGGCGTGCGGCATCACCATCAGGCAAGACATGCTTTTTAAATCACTGTTAATTCTATAAATCTCTTTTTCCATAAGCAAAAATAACCACAGAAAGGTAGAGGACCTTAGAAAGCAGCTGTTCATTCCTATTGGCTCTGGCCAGCAATAAACTTCATAAAATTGTAAATAATTTGGTGAAGACTGCTTGTTGCATGTAAGAGACAAATATCTCTTAAACACAGGTGAATATTACTAGTATTCTAATGATGTGAAATATTGGGATTTTTCTAGGAGCTACTTTCAAACTGCTCTGTAGTGTCACAAAAGGTACTCCTGTGCCTAGAACAATTATGACAAAAGACAAAAGAGTAAAACAAAAATATCATTTAAGGTTTCTGCAATATGCTTTAAATTAATGACTGTTATCTGGATTCATAGCAATCTAGTAAATCATGTCAAGTAGTGAATTACAAATTTCATTTTTCAAAATTCTGAACCCTTTGATGCAAGATAGTATGTTTAATAGCAACCTGAATAAATTCATTTATTTAGAAAATGTACTAACATATGTTTTTAAAAGTTTCTAAAATTAAATTTAATTAAATTTTATGTGCATGAATGTTCTGCCTGCATATATGTCTGTGGACCATTTGCATGCCTGGTGCCCACAGAAGACAGAAGAGGGTGTTTGATATTTGGAACTGGTGCTACCAAGGGATGTGAGCTGTCATGTGAATGTTGGGAATCAAAACCAGGTCCTGTAGAAGAGTAGCCAAGTGCTCTTAACCACTAAGCACTATCTTTAGCCCCTGTGTTAAAATATTAAATGAAGGAAGAAAATGACAATTCATAAAGGAATCTTTTAAGAATATTTTATGTAGCTCAGAAACTTCATCAGCTATTAAAACTGTGAACATCTTTATTTTTATTATGAAATAATGAAGTTAGATGATAGTGAACTGAAATGACAATTTTGAAAAAATATAAACTATGAATTATACTAGTGTTCTTTATCTCTATCATTAAATGTTTACCAAAATACCTTTTCAAAATTATATTAGTGTTGATACTAGAAAATATAAGAATCAAAAGATATTATCACTAATATATATAACTTTCTGAGCAGCTGAAAATGTGTTTTCAGATGTATTTTAACTTTAAATTTCAAGATTGACTTTTCTTAATTTTATTTCCCATTTTAAGAACATATTGTTTTAGGAAAATCAATATTTTTACAAATATTTCATACTGATTTTTATAAATATTAGATGTTTTAAAAAGAAATAATTGTGTAAATATTTTTAGAAAACAAGATGACATTATTTTGTTCCATAGACACAAATGTTCTGCTGGTATCATATGGAAATACTAGATGTATAAGATAATACTGCTGAGATATTTTTACCTCTATATTTAGAGTGCATGTCTTATGGATACTTATTTGAATCTTTTTTAAAATTCCAGAATTAAATCTCTGTCATTTAACCAAGAATTTAATTCACTAATATTTAATGTAGTTATTATTATATTTGGGTCTGAGTACACCATTTTATTATGAATTATCTGTTTGTTTCCTTTATTCTTGTTTTGTTGAGGTGGTTCCACTTATATTTTGAGGGGTTACTTGAATGCTTAAAATTCCATCATAATTTCTTCCTTGGATTTTTAGGTACACATAATTTTTTACATTTTCTTATATTGTAACTAGAGGTTCATCATAACTTTGCATAATTTTCAAACAAAAATTCATAATGTATCATTTTGCACAAAATGTTGAAACTAAAATTATATTCAGGCTTTCATAATGTAAATTGTTTATGTAGTTATATGTATCTGTTATATAAACTGTACAGGACTAGAAATGATTATAAGAAAAACTTCTTCAGTATTTTCCTGCCCACATCTATCCCTCCCTCTCTTCCTCCTGACTAATTACACATTAAGGAAATCTCAACTTGCTGTCTTTCTCAGTTTTTTTAAATTCTGTATCAGTTTTTCACATTGGATAGTTTCTATTCTATTCTCCAATTCATTTACTCTTTGTTCTTTCATCACCAGTAATTACCAGTCAATTATGTTCAATGACCACTTTACTTTAGATAGTACTTTTGCTCCACCCCCTACTCCAGCTCCACTCCCTGCCCTATTTGAGTTCCTGCCTTGACTGCCTTTGATAATGAACTGTGATATAGAAGTGTAAGTTCCTCATAAATTGTTTTCATTTAATCACAATAGAAAACCTAACTAAGACAAAAAGAGCTTTATACATTTAAAATAGTCCTAGAAAATTCAGCATAGTCTTAGCAAATTGCTAAACTGAGTGTTAAAAATAATACTCCAACACAGAGACAATAAAAATTAGCAAGAGACATGACTAACCTTTACCCATGACTTTCTACCTTTTTCCTTTGGTAAGACAGTTTTACAAGTACCCTTCGTTGTTGCTGAAGTATCTCCAGTTGGTTTAGTTTTTCCTGATTTCTTGCTGGTCTTTGGTACTGGTAGTACAAGAGTTGTTTTCTGTGGAGACTTCATTTTTGGAGATTGAGCCCCTTTGGAGGTGGAAGACTTTTTTTTCTCAGAGGTAGGGGTTTTTGTTTGTTCATAGGAGGAAGGTGGTGTGTTCTCTGCACTCTTCACTGAAAGAGCTGAGAAGAGAGCTTAGCAACAAAAATTAAAGAAAATGTAAAAACACTATCATATGACTGAAAAAAGTTTAAGCTTATCTTTAAAACTTTCCAAAGGGTACTCATTGAAATTATTTTAAACAAGATCCAAATTAGCAAAACTAGAGATGAAAATGATGACATTACAATAGACACTAAGAAAATCAAGATAACCATAAAAGAATACTTTTTTAAAAATTTGTATTCCACTAAACAGGAAAACCTAAAGGAAATATATTTCTTAAAATATATAATCTATCAAAGTTAAATCAAGATAAAGTAAATGTAATTTAAATAGATTCATAACCCCTAGTAAGATAGAAGCAGTAACTAAAAATCTCCCACCTAGAAAAAGTTCATGGACAGATGGTTCAGCCTATAATTCTACCAGGTATTAAAAAAAGAATTAATGACATTAGTTTTCAATTATTCTCAAAAAAACCCTAAAGAAACATTCCTAAATGCTTCATATAAGGCCATCATTACCCTGATACCAAAATCACACAATGACTCAACAAAAATAAAAAAGATGGATATCCATTACAAATATAAATAAAAATTCAATAAAATATTACAAACCAAATTCAAGAATACATCAAAATATTATCCACCATTAAGTCAGTTTCATATCAGTGACACAGGAATGATTAAACATATATAAATCAATAAACAAAAGTCATCACATAAATAGAACAAAGGACAGAAACCATATGATCATCTCAAAAAGATACAGAAAACGCCTTTGATAAAATTCAACATTGCTGATAAAAGTCCCAAAGAGATCAAGAATATGTGGGACATATCTCAACATAATAAAGGCAATTTATAACAAGCTGACGCATCATCGTTCCTTCTAAATGGGGAAAATTAAAAACAAAATCAACAAAAAAAAACATTTCCACAAAACACAAGTCAAAATGGATCGAAGACCTCAACATAAAGCCAGACACACTGAACCTTATAGAAGAGAAAGTGGGAAGTACACTTGAATGCATGGGCACAAGAGACCACTTCCTGAATATAACCTCAGCAGTACAGACGCTGAGAGAAACAATTAATAAATGCGACCTCCTGAAATTGAAAAGTTTCTGTAAAGCAAAGGACCCGGTCAACAGACAAAACGACAGCCTACAGAATGGGAAAGGATCTTCACTAACCCCACTTCACACTAACCCCACTTCAGACAGAGGTCTGATCTCCAAAATATATGAAGAACTCAAGAAATTGGTCGTCAAAAGAACAAATAATCCAATATAAAAATGGAGTACAGACCTAAACAGAAAACTCTCAACAGAGGAATCTAAAATGGCTGAAAGACACATAAGGAAATGTTCAACATCCTTAGTCATCAGAGAGATGCAAATGAAAACAACTCTGAGATTTCATCTTACACCTGTAAGAATGGCCAAGATCAAAAACACTGATGACAACTTATGCTGGAGAGGTTGTGGGGAAAAGGGAACACTTCTGCATTGCTAATGGGAATGCAAGCTGGTACAGCCACTTTGGATGTCAGTGTGGCAATTTCTCAGAAAATTAGGATACAACTTACCTCAAGACCCAGCAATCCCACTGTTGGGTATATACCCAATGAATGCTTAATCGTGCCACAAGGACATGTGCTCAACTATGTTCATAGCAGCATTGTTTGTCATAGTTAGAACCTGGAAACATCCTAAATGCTTCTCAACTGAAGAATGGATGAGGAAAATGTGGTACATTTATACAATGGAGTACCACACAGCAGAGAAAAATATCATCTTAAATTTTGCAGGCAAATGGATGGAGCTAGAAAACATCATTTTGAGTGAGGTAACCCAGACACAGAAAGATAATTATCATATGTATAAAGCAAAGAAAACCAGCCCACAAACATCAATTCCAGAGAACTTAAACAACAATGAGGACCCTAAGAGAGACTTACTAGATCTAATCTACATGGGAAGTAGAAAAAGACAAGATCGCCTGAGTAAATTGGGAGCATGGGGACCTTGGGGAGAAGGTTGATGGGGGGAGGGTAGAGGCAGGGAGGGGAGCAGAGGAAAATGTAGAGCTCAATAAAAAACAATAAAAAATACATTCAAAATTTGTAAGCAGCAGGAAAACACTTAAAATCTCATCTTATTCAAGTCAGAAGGTACACAATAAGATCAAAATATAAGGCATAAAATTTTTAACAATGAATGTCAGTCAAATGAAATTTTAGGTACATTAGATTATTATAATCAGGAAACAATTATCTAAAGAAGATAAATTTATTAGACTAACCAACAAAAATTCAATTTAGCACATTGAAAATGATACAAATTTATTATTGTGTTATTTCTTGTACTAGATTTCTTTAAAAAAACTGTATTTCCTTCTGGAAAGAATATGCTATTATTTAATATTGAGGAAGCATCTTGTAAATAAATATAGAAAAAAATAAGGCAAATCAGTCACCTGGAATTGCTTCTTCATCTTCCAAAAGTTTGGCTTGGTCTTCCCAAAATTTACTGACTTTTTTGTCTTTGCGTTTTTTCTTACCTTCATTGAGATATGAAATAAAAAAAATTATGTACATTTAAAGCTGGAACACATTATGTTCCAGTCTGCATGTTAAATAATAAAGCATCTAATGCACCATAGTCACAAATCTTATCACAGTGAAAATTTCTATGAATTTATCTTTGTGGGACTTTTACTTGTTTCCTTAAAAGTGAAAAACAGTTTTGTCTTTTAAAAACATTGTATCATTATTCAATACATGGCAAACATCTTGTGACTCAATATGGATTAAAAAAAAAAACAAAGCAATCACCTCGGGCTGCTTCTTCATTTTCAAAATGACTTGCTTCATCTTTCCGAGGTTTGGTGACTGGCCTGCCCTTGCGTTTTTTCTCAGCTTTGTTGAGTTATGAAATGAAAAGCAACTATTATGTATACTTAAATCTGGGACACATTACATTCTAGTGTGCATGCTAAACAATAAAAGATTCTAATGCAGAATAGTCATGAAATGCTACCATCATACTCACATGAAATTTAACAATGCACAACATGGCACAGTTGTACAGGAGTGGCATGCATACCTTGGCAGTAACCAAATATTCTTTACTTGGACTTAAGATCCACTCAACATGAGGGAAACCATGACTGGTACTGGAAACCCAGCTAAAAATTCTGTGCTAGAGAACTGATGGTTATTGGAGGATAATATGCACCCACTAATTTAACCGAACAGCATAGTCCCCAACAACTATCTATAAACATTTGTCTTCATACCCACAGTAGTCTTCATTCTTCATCAAGAAATCTTGTTTGCCACAGATAGAGACCATTACAATAAACCAAAACTAATTAAAACAAAGAGTGGTGGAGTCCAATCAGAATGGATACATTTACAGAATATTTCTGCACATTGCCAAAAAGGAGGTAGAAAGACTGTAAAGAGCCAGAGGGTGAGGAGTTCTCTCTAAAGCTGTATCTCCTAGTAATATCAGGAGAAATACACAGAAAATCATGAACATTACTGCTCATACATGAGATGAATAAGAATGACATTAATACACAGAAATAGCTCATGAAGCCTCAACCACATAGAAAAGAACTATAGAAAACTGAAGAAAATGGGGAACAGGAGAAATGGGAAACACCAGAAAGAAGCACACAATCTGGTGTGAAAAAGTCAGCCATAAAAACAGAATACAGTTACTATTATACAGACAGAACAAGTTATATTCAGGACAATATGTATACATAGATATTTTTGAATGCAAGCATTAACAATTATTAAAAGAGGAGGCCACACATTTGTCAGAGAGATGAAGGCATATATGGAAGGTTTGGGGAAAAGGGGGGAAAGGAGAAAGGTCAGAGTTTAATTATTGACTCAAAAAAGAAAATGTTCTCTCTTAAAACATAAAAAAACTATAATCAGGAAAAAACTAATCTTTCAAAGTGATGAACTTACTATAATAGAAGACAAATTTGACTTATCATACTCAAAATTTCTATGAATTTTTTATCATGCTACTTCTTATACTTGTTTTCCTAAAAGTAAAAAGCAGTTTTTCCTTCTAAAAACATTACACCATCATTCAATATATTGCAGACATGATAATATAGATTAAAAATCATCAGAAAAACAAAGCAATCACCTGGAATAGCTTCTTCATATTCAAAAATTCCAGTTTGGTCTTTCTGAGGTTTGATGACTGTTTTGCCCTTGCGTTTTTTCTCACCTTTATTGAAATATGAAAATAAAAACAAAAATTATGCACATTTAAAGGTACAACACATTATGTTCAATCCACTATGTTTTCCAAATAGCAAAGCTTCTAATACTAAAGCATATGTTCTAATATCGCTTTGTCATTAAAGAAGCCTACCATCAGGCTCACGTCATGTGTAACAATGCACATCATAGCATGATAACTCTAAGTATGCAGCTGCGGAACACATATTTTCTCTATAACCAACAGCACTTTACTTGGAAATAAGACTCGTTAAACAAGAGAGAGTACATGTCTGGTAATAGAAACCCAGCTAAAAACTCTGGGCTTGTCAAATAATGGTTATCAGAGAAGAATCTACAATAACTCAATTACTAAAACAGCATAATCCCTAACAGTAATCTATAAACAGTTTTATTATGCCTTAAGATAACTGTATTCTTTACTCTTTATTAAGGGAACTTTTGTTTGCAACAGACAGAGACCATCATAGAAAACCACAACCAATAAAAGCAAACAGTGGAAGAGATCAATCAGAATGGATATCTACAGAACAATCCTGCACATAAGGTACTGCTCAGGGAATGCTGCTCAAGAGAGTGTAGAAAGATCTTAAGAGCCACAGGGTGAGGGAGTTTAAGACTGCATCTTCTAGCAAGAACAGGAGAAATTACTATCAAACATGAGTTGAACAAGAATGACAACAATACATATAAAAACTGAACAGAGAAAAAGCCCATGAGGCCTAAATCCTAAACAAAAGAACTACAGAAAATGGAAGAGGTGGGAGAGGTGGGAATCCCCAGGGAAGAACATACTAATTCACTCTCAGATAGAAAAAGATAGCCACGAAAACAAAAATACAGGTATTATTAAATAGACTAAACAAGTTATATTCAGGGCTATACATGTATGTAGATATTCTTGAATGCAAGCACTAAACCGTAAGTGAGGGAAAAGGTCATATATTTGGCAGAGAGAACGGAGGGTATACAGGAAATTTGGGAGGAGGATCAGGTAGGGAGAAAGGTTGAAATGAAACTATAATTTCAAAATAAAAGAGAATTTTCTCTTTGAAAACATGAAGAAAATTATAATCAGGATACAATCTAATTCTCAAAAAGGATGAACTTATAACCAATCTGATGATTCACAGTAAAAATTTCTATGAATTTATTATTGTGATAATTTTATTTTTTTACAAAAAGTAAAAAAAATCCTTTTAAAAACATTACTCCATGCAATATATGGCAAACACCTTCTGAATACATATAGTAATTATATGTAAATATAGGTTTGTGTTTATGTATATACATTATATAACGACTATGTTTATGTGTATAGGTGTATGGTCATGATATAAAATGACATATTTATGTTCACAATGTGGTTAAATATATTTAAATATTTATATTTATTCATATATATTATAATTACTTTGTGTATGATTTATATTTATAAAATATACATATACAAATGTATATACAAAATGTGTATGTATATATATTAAAAACAATCACCTGGGGCAGGTTCGTCGTATTCAAAACGTCCAGCTTGGTCTTTCGATGTTTTGGTGACTGTCTTGCCCTTGCGTTTTTTCTTAGCTTTATTGAGATACAAAATGAAACACAATGATTAAGTATATTTAAAGCTAGAACATGTTATGTTTAATCCACTATGTTTTCCAAATAGTAAAGCTTCCAATACTAATACATATGCTCTAATATAACTCTGTCATGAAGAAGTCTACCAACATGCTCATGCTACATGTAACAATGTCCATCATGGCATGATAACAAGTATGCAGCTGTGGAACATGTACTTTCTTTGTGATCAAGAGCTCTTGTACAAGAGAGAGAGAGCATGCCTGGTAATGAAAACCCAGCTAAAAAGACTGTGCTAATCAAATGATTAAGAAGAAATCTACAACTACTAACTTACTAAAACAGCATATTCCCTAACAACAACCTAAAACCTTGTTCTTATACTTGAAGATAACTGTAGTCTTTAGTCTTCATCAAGGAAACCTTGGTTTGCAATAGCTAGAGACCATAAAGTCAATATAGATTTAAAGCAAAACAAAGCAAAGCAATCACCTGGACCTGCTTCTTCATCTTCAAAAAGTCCAGTTTGGTCTTTCCATGGTTTGGTGACTTTTTTGCCCTTGCGTTTTTTCTCAGCTTTATTGAGGTATGAAACAAAAACAAAGATTATATATAATGAATCTAAAACACATTATGTTTAATACATGATTTATAAATAATAAAGCTTCCAATACTAATACATATGCTGTAATACAGCCTTGTATTGGGCTACCATCATGATCCTGTGATATGTAACAGTGCCCATTATAGCATGATAACTCTTAAATATGCAGCATTGGAACACAGACTTCTTTGTAACCAGAAGATCTTAATTGGACTTAAGATTCCTCGACAAGAGGGAGAGATTGCCTGTAAAGGAAATCCAACTAAAACTTTGGTGCTGGTGAAATTATGTTTATTGGAGAAGAATCTACAACCACTAATATACTAAAACAGCATAATCTCTAACAACAATCTATATTGTTCTTATACCTGAAGATAACTGTAGTTTTTATTCTTCATCAAGAAAACTTTGGTTTCAAAAGGCAAGGGGCTATTACACAAATCCACAAGCAATCAAATCAGAGAGTGGTGAAGCACAATCAGAGTGGACCCATCTACAGAACACACCTGTACATAAATAAGATAAGGCCCGGAGAACACAACCCAAGAGGGGGGACTGAAAGATCATCAGAGTCAGAGAGTGAGGGAATATGCTCTATGGCTGTGTCTCCTAGTAATATCAGGAGAAACACACATAAAACCTGACAAACATCACTGCTCAAACGTAAGTTCAACAAGAATGGCACCAATACCTATACAATCTAGACATATGGCTTCAACCCTATTCAAAACACAATAGAAAACTGAAGGAAATGGACAAAAGAAGATGTGGGAATTCCTAGGATAGAATATACTAAATTACTATATGGTTTCAAAAACCCAGCCATAAAACATATATTATTATACAGACTGCACAAGTTATATTTAGGAGAGAGAGAGAGAGAGAGAGAGAGAGAGAGAGAGAGAGTGTGTGTGTGTGTGTGCATTTATATAAACATTCCTGTTTTTGTTTTTTGTTTCGTTGTTGTTTGGTTGGTTGGTTTTTCGAGACAGGGTTTCTCTGTAGCTTTGGAGCCTGTCCTGGAACTAGCTCTTATAAACAAGGCTGGCTTTGAACTCACAGAGATCTGCCTACCTCTGCCTCCTCCCAAGTGCTGAGATTAAAGGCATGCACCACTACTGCCCAGATTTATATAGACATTCTTTTTTTATATAGACATTCTTAAATACAATTATTAACAATTAGTATGAAAAGAGGCCATGATTTTGGCATAGAGAGAGGGTTGAAATACGAGGTTATGCATGAAGGAAAGGGTATGGAGAAATGTTGAAATTAAATGATAATTTCATAAAAAATGAGATCAATCTCATTGAAAACATGAAATGAATCTGTAATCAAGGAGTCTAATTCTCTGAAAAGATGAATTTATTATACTAAGAGAAAGATTTGGTATATCACAGTGAAAATTTTTATGAATTCATCACTGTGGTACTTATTATCTCTAAAATGAAAAACAGTCTTGTCTTCTAAAAACATTACACAATTATTCAATATCTGGCAAACATGATATGAATCAATGTAGATCAAAACAAAGCAAACATCTGGGGCTGCTCCTTCATATTCAAGAAGTCCGGTTTGGTCTTTCCATGGTTTGGTGATGCTTTGCCCTTGATTTTTTTCTCAGCTTTATTTAGATATGAAATGAAAAATGATGATTATGTACATTGAAAGCTATGATACATTATGTTTAATCTACTATGTTTTCTAAAACAATAAAGTTTCCAATATTAAAGCATATGCTCTGACATATCCTTTTCCTAAAGAAGGCAGCCATCATGCTTACGTAATTTGTAACAATGCTCATCAGGGCATGATAACTCAAAGTATGCAGCATTAGAGCACATTATCTTCTTTGTAACCAGAAACCCTTAATTGGACTTAAGACTCCCTCAACAAGAGGAAGAGCATGATTGGTAACGGAAACTTAGCTAAAAATCCTGTGCTGATCAAATGATGATTATTGGTGAGGAAATCTACAACTACTAATTTACTAATACAGCATAATCCTTAACAATAATCTATAAACATTGTTCTTATACCTGAAGATAATTGTCGTATTTACTATTCATCAAGAAAACTTTGGTTTGGAACAGCCAGAGACTATTACAGAATTCTACAGCCAATCAAACCAGAGAGTGGCAGAGCCCAGTCAGAATGAATATATCTACAGAACTGTGCTGCACATAACATAAGGCTCAAAGAACACTCCCTAACTTAGGGGCTGAAAGATCATCAGAGTCAGAAGGTGAGGGAATTTGCCCTAGAGTAAATTTCCTACAAATATGAGGAGAAGAACACATAGAACCTCACAAACATCCCTGTCCACACATCAGCTGAACAAGAATGACACCAATACATACACAAACTGGACAGAGAATAGTCCATGAGGCTTCAAGCCTACTCAAAGTGAAGGAAAACTGAGAATAGGAGAGGTGGCAATACCCAGGGAAGAATATACTAATTCAGAGTCTGGTACCAGAACGCCAGTCATGAAAACATATATACAGGTATTAGTATTAGTATATAGACTGAGCAGACTATTTTTTTAATCTCTCTCTCTCTCTCTTTCTCTCTCTCTCTCTCTCTCTCTCTCTCTCTCTCTGTGTGTGTGTGTGTGTGTGTGTGTGTGCGTATACAGAGATTTTTATCAATGCAAGCACTAACAGTGTGAAAAGAGACCATGAATTTTGGCATAGAGTTGGTGGTTGAAACAGAAGATTTTGGAGGGAAGAAAGGGTAAGGCAATAGGATGAAAATTAGTGATAATTTCACAAACAATGAGAACAGTCTCCTTGAAAACATGAAAAGAATCTGTAATCAGAAGCAATCTAATTCTTCAAAATGATGAACTTATTATAACAAGAGAAAATTTGACTTATCAAAGTGAAAATTCCTATGAATTTATCATCATGGTACTTACACTTGTTTATTTAAAAGTTAAGAAGTCTTGCCTTCTAAAACATCACACCATTATTCAATATACAGAAAATATCATGTGAATAAATATAGATAAAAACAAAACAAAACAAAGCAATCACCTGGACCTGCTTCTTCATATTCAAAAAGTCCAGCTTGGTCTGTCCATGTTTTGGTGACTTTTTTGCCCTTGCGTTTTTTCGTAGCTTTATTGAGGTATGAAACAAAAACAAAGATTATATACACTGAAAGCTAGAATACATTATGTTTAATGCACTACTTTTCCAATTAATAAAGCTTCTAATACTACTGTATATGATCTACTATTGCCTTGTTATAGAGAAGGCTACCATTATGCTCATGTGATGTATATCAATGTCCATCATGGCATCAGTGCCACACATACTTTCTAATTTAGAACTCTTAACTGGACTTAACTTGCTCAACAAGAGGGTTAGCCTGGTAATGGAAACCCAGCCAAAAACTGTGTGCTTTTCAAATGATGATTATTGGAGAATTTACAACCATTAACTTGGTAAAAGCATAATCCGTAACAAAAATCTATAAACATTATTCTTATACCTGAAGATAACTGTTGCCTTACACTTTATCAGGAAAACTTAAATCAAACAGCAAGAGGCTATTACAGAAATTCACAAGCAATCAAAGCAGAAAGTGGTGGAAACCAATCAGAATGGCTACATCTACGGAACACTCCTGCACATAAGATAAAGCTCAGGGAACACTATGCAAGAGAGGGTTGAAAGATCATCAGAGCCAGAGCATGAAGGAATTTGCTCTAACACTGTATCTCCTAGCAATATCAGGAAAACACACATAAGACCTCACAAACATCCCTGTCCATACATCAGTTGATCAAGAATGGCACCAATACATACACAAACTGGACAGTGAATAGTTCATAAGGATTAAACCCTACACAAAAGACAATAGAAAACTGAAGGAATCTCATAAAAGGAAAGTTGGAACTACCCAATGAAGAAAATACTGAATCACTGCCTGGTGTCAACAAGCCAGTCATGGAAAAAAAAATATATATATAGGTATTATTATGCAGATTTGAAGAGGTTACATTTATGAACATGTGTGTGTGTGTGTGTACACATAGACGTTTTTAAATACAATCACTAAGAATTATTGTGAAAAGAGGCCAAAAATTATGGCACAGAGAAGGTGGTTGAAATTAGAAGTTTTGAATGGAAGAAAGCATGTGGAAAAAGGTTGTAATTAAATGATAATCTCATAAAAATGATACTTCTTCATGAAAACATGAAAAGATTCTGTAATCAAGAAGCAATCTAATTCTCCAAAAGGATGAACTTATTATACTGAGACAAATTTAAATTATCACAGTGAAAATTTCTATGAATTTATCACTGTTACTTATATTTGATTACTTAAAAGTGAAAAACACTCTTGCCTTCTAAAAACATTACACCATTATTCAATATTTGGCAAA